CAGGTAAAAGATCTGTTCCGTTCCGTTTGGACAAATGTTGTTTGCGTGCGTTCGTTGTGAAAAGTTTGGAGACCAGTGGAAATTGAGTCAGGAAGACTCGCAGGGTAATTGTGAGGTCATTGGGGAGAAACAGATGTGAGAATGTTGTTTAGAAAATATACCGTATTCAAGCATATGAGTTTACTGACAGTCCATGAGTACAATCAAGATCTGATTAGATCATGTCTATAGTTTTTATTCAGTAAAAACGACCAAACTCTCCACAACTGCAGATTGATCGATGGATTTGTTCTCTGTATGCAAGTGTTGGTGAATATGGATTGTCAAAGTTTATCACAGTGAACCAAGGCAAATCATCGGTAAATTGAAATGTTATGAGTTGTGGACCATGGCACAATGTTCGATATGATTGCTCAATGACTTTCAATGTAGAGTTACGTATAGAGTTCAAAGACAAACTGACACTGTGGTCATTGGTATAACCAAGGCCGAAACGAATACGTGATAATGAAACAGCTTTGGAGGCCCAGGAAGAGAGATATCGGACATGGTTACGTACGGGCTGTTAGAGGCCTTCAGAATGATTGGAATAGCCGTTTCCTGGTCGTGTATGACAACCACCATTATTATAAAAGCTTCATAGAAACCCAACAAGTAAATTCCGACTGATTTGCCCTCTGGTCAACAAGCAAATCAGGTCAAGAAGCGGCTTTAATTCGCCCCACGGAGCTGCCGCACAATAACGCGTCTGTGGAAATGGCATGGTAAAAACCAAAGCGATGTCGATACGTTGCATGTTGCAAATAACTCAGGCCAATTCCGAAAAGTTTGTGTCTTTAAGGATCGCAGTCACAAGATCGGCGTTGGTAAGAAACCGTGCCCAGTACGGTAATACAGAAAATTTCTATGTTGTGGTGAGTGCTGCGATATGCTTGTAATTGGAATGAGTGCCAGATATAGAGAGAGAGATACATTTACTAAGATGAGAATACAGTGCGTCAGTTGGGTCTAGTAATATTCTGGTAGAAAGTTGCTGACGAGCCTTAAAGTACTGTGAGATTGTAAACTGCACAATATCCACATACGTGTTTGATGGAAGTCCGTATTAGTTTGAAGTCTTCGATCAAAAGACCCGGAAAAACAACTGGGGATGCATAAAACCAGTGGAGGAGAGATACACGAAAAGCCAAAAAAGAGTTTTATTAAGTGAGTTGGGGTAAATAAAATTTTCAAACGAATAATGTAAAATGTGACGTGTGTGAAATGTCTCGGCGGCATGAGGAGACCAAGAGAGATTACGGAAAATAGTGACTCTGAGGTATTTGACGGAGCATGCTCTGGAAACATATTCTCTATCAATAGTAGCATGCTGGCAATAGTTCATCACATCAATGGATTGGTCAACATTCAGCAATGGAAATAAGATGTCATTACACTTGGAAGGATTTAACCTAAGATTGTATTGTTAGGACCAATCGTTCAGCAGTCAAATATTCTGCATTAGTTTGCGGTACATGGAGGAATTGGCTATCTCCATACCATACGCTACATCATCGACATACTTAATGAGAAAACAATCATCAAAAGCAGACATGGAAGAACTACAGGTTGTAAACAGGAAAGGAGAGAGAATAGCATTTTGAAGAACTCCTTGAGTGAAGGATAAAAGTGAAGAGTTGTGATGATGGGTGAAAAATTACGCAACAGATTGATAATCTCCGGCTGAATACCTTTCTCTGAGAAATTGAAAGCGTCACTATAATCAACGAAAAACAACCGAACAGCTTTACATTTTCTGTCCAAGGAAGAAGAAACATGATGAATGAGGGATGGGAACACGTCGATGTTTGACCTGGAACTGCGACAGGCAAATTGAGTGGGATCAGGTGCATTCAGCTGGGATAACATTTTCTTTTCCAGCATTTTCAAATCAACTGATCTGGGAGAAATCGGGCGAAATTCAGACTTTCCCTTTTTGGGTACTGGCGTGATAGAAGCCGTTATTCGGAAGTCCGAAATACAATGCTGAGTAAATCACAGGCTGACCAGGTCGGTGAAAATACGGGAGAAGGAAACTGTACGTTCGTTGAGGTCTATAGTTAGCAGTACATCAGGGGTGCGTTTATTAGATTGCAGACTGATAAAAGTTTTGAATATTACTGTTTGATCCGTAATTAAATTTAAAAACATTAAGCGGAGGGACGACTGCTCTGCTTAGAACAGCGGTGTTGGTTTCAGCATTACTAAATCGGCGATTGAGATGGTCCACGTTGGCAGCTGACAGATTTTCATTGATTTTGAG